TTTCACGACGTGACGAGCAATAAATCGACGTGGAAAAAAGAAATACTTTAATAGGTTGATACGAAGCTGGTGAACCGGTTTCGGGCTGCATTTAATGCAGATGTGCCAGGACCCCCTACGAAATCTTGTAATGAAACGATTTAGACGCGGAATCTACACCTAAATCGAGTGCCGACGAGCTTTCTTTCGCGACCGGTAGAAATAAAGACTGATCCTCTTGTCCAAAAGAACGTCACGAGCCTTTTCAAGTTCGTGCAGCGACATTGTTGACAGCTCTGTGCAATCATAAGGGAAAGGTAATATCGCAACCCCCTAGACTTCAGCTGCTGACTCTGCCCCGTAATAACTAGCTGAGATATCACCTCGCGCACAAACTAGGAATAAATTTGATGATCACCATGCAGTGGACGTTAGAAAAAGTAACAAGTCTAACTTTGCGTACTTGCCATTAGTTTCGATCTGTTCAAATTTACTACACAGTAAAAAAAATTGTGAATTTGTGTTGGAAACGGTCCACTTACGTTTGTGTTAACAGTTTGTTTCGAATTTTTTAACATATTCGAGTATTAATTTAACATAATGTGATTATGTTACTTAAAAATTTTTTGTGAAATTGACATTCAATGTTTCTTAGTGACACAATTTATGAGTAAGTGAACAAGTAACATAAAAATAATTTGTTTTAAAACGTAAATTCTAAGAAAATGAATGAAACATGTGTTAATTTAACATATATCATAAATGTTAATTTTCTGAAAAAAATATGTTCTCACACGGTATGTTTATAAACTGTGTCGATGTTATCTTTCTTTGTATTTATTCTCTTACATAATATTTTGGTTACCTTCTAACATATTCATTTTATGTAAAATTAACTAAAAAATTTGAGTAGACTATTTGGGACATGCGATTTATGTTAAATTCAACACATTTTTTCCAACTGTGTATACGCGATCATATCATCATATTTGAATTAATATGATTAAAAAGCTCTAAAAATAAAAAAATTGTCACAGAAAAAATCTTACATTAACAGATAACGTCATTAAATACTGTAGAGCAAAGTTTTTAAATAAAATATTAATAAGAAAATTAATTATATTGTGGATTATATATTATATCGCGCGAATATACTCAAACAAATATATATATCAGCAGGATTAAATAAATCAAACAATTTTTCAAATTTTATTAAAACTCCGATAATCAATTAAGTTCATCAAAAGGAAGTGATATAAAATAAAAGACAGCCAGCGGAATTTTCAAGATTACAATATCGTCTAATTTCATTGGTATGCCATATCAAAAGTTTTGTCGAGTATTCGCAGAGAAGGACGAAATGATCGTTTGCGTTTCTGCCGGCGTGACAAATCGCGAGCCGCGGAATCGTTTTGCGGCGACAACGCAACTATTCCATTAAAATTCGCAGCGGTGGCGGCGGCGAACGATAACGACGTCGGAGGTATAGCCAGGCCGCAGCACTCCGTCGCGGCGTCATTGTCGTCGTCGCCGTCGTCGTCGTCATCGGCAATGGCGCCGACTAAGCGCACGCGAAAGTTTCGTCCGTCGCGATGCGCGACGTGACACGTCGCGGCGCTGCTTCAACCGTCGGCGAGATTATATGCGGAATCCGTACCTCGACGATAAACGGGTTTCTATAGGCTCGTGCGAAATACCGGGTGGCTTGACAAGAGCAATTTATCATGCTCGATCTGTATTTGCATACGTCGTCGGAGAGCCCCGTCGCTCATGCCCGCCGCGACATCACATAGTCGAGTGCCTTTTGAAATTTGCGTGTTTGCGAATACGAGGCTGCTCTCTATCTCTCTCATTCTCTTTCATTCCCGTTCCTCCCGCCTTTTCCGCTTGTCCCATCTTCGTACACACACGGCGATCGCCCTCTGAACTCGACGAACCCTCCCTCTTTCTCTCGCTCCGCAGCTCATCGCTTCAAACGTCCCCGACGAATGCCTGCGAGCTTCTGTTCGAGACAAACGATGCGCGAGATATGAATTCGTGCGCGGGACTTAACTGATCGTTTCGAGAGACTCGCTGATCTGCCGCATTGGTAATTGCGGGGTTGCCGGACGCTGAAAGAGGTCCATCTATATTCTATAACGTTCGTCTGCGGTACTGAGAGAACGTCCGACGACCCGTAAATTCAGTTACGCGTAGGTGCCGTATTTGATTCTCATCAGACGCGTTTAGCCGTCCCTCATTCGCACGGGTGAAGCGATGAACGAGCGATGAACCAACTTGGAAAACGATGAACAGACAGGCTAACTTGGGTAGATCATATCAGGACTATATTTCACATTTCCGTTTACACCCGAGAGATCTTAAGCCCCTTCTACCTTCTGGCCTGCGACGCGACCAGAACGTCCAGTTTTCTCTCAGTCCAGAATGTACAAGAGCTCGAAGCTTTAGGGCCAGTGGTCACGCCTCTTTCCAAACGGCCGCCAGGCGCAATCCTCGATACAGATAAGTCATGTCCGTCATTTTTCAACACTCGTGCGATTCTCTTAGGCTCCCTCCCCCAGACTTCCCTCTTTCAACGGTCACACCGGCAATATCGGACGGGCGAACGCGCACGGTGACGATTTCTCATCGGCCGCATCGTCGGACTTTTCCAGCGGCGCGAGTTTTATCTCGCGCTTCCACCCTTAATTTGATTAATCGACGAGGATCTTGACCCTCCACGCCGGCATTAATCACCGTCCGGTCGTATGCATACATGGCCGCGGCATTAGGAGCGCCACGCCGTGTCGGGAGACGCGGACGATCTCGCCATTTGTTAGAACCGCTTGTTTAGAGAGAAGCTTTACACACTCGACCGGCTCTTCCGCCTCGGTGCGCGGATATTAATGGCGGATTAATTCGGCGGAGGTACGTCCTCGATGTTACGTGAGAGACTCGTACAAGTTGAGCTCGCGGTGTCTCCCGTCACCTGCCCGCGATCTTTTCTGTTGTCATGTCCAGTGAGGGGAGGATCAATTTTTTTTGAAATTGAAATTACAATAATTACATTTTACTTTCTTCCTCTTAGGGGGCCCCTTTCATTTTGTAAGAAAATATGATCAATTGAAAATAACATGAAAATCTTCAGGTGGAAATTTGAGCAAATGTTTATCTAAGTAGTAAAGCAAATAGTTCAGACTTTCATTACGGAATCGTAAATCATGATGCGTTACGAAATTATTTTGATATTAAAGAAAGAAACGAGAAAGAGAGAGAGAGAGAGAGAGAGAGAGAGAAATTTTATTGTGTTGATAAATACATCTTTCTTAAAATTACATAAGCAATCCAGTAACACTTATGTGATTTTTAATGGAAATACGAATTCGCTTTTACCTTTTTTTACGTATTTATAATATTTTAATTTTTTACAGTGGAAATAAAACACGTATATTACCGTTGTAATGTGGTTTAACTTATAATATAATTTTTTATTATATTCTTATTTACATCGAAACGATTTTATATGATCCGTTTTGTATTAATGCATACAGTGATGTCAGTGTAACACGACCTGCGAGAGCAGCAAGCGGGCAAAAACGGCCGATTAGGAAAGACTCGCTATTATGAGACGCTAAACGTTCGCCCTGATTTCGAGTCGGTGGCAGACCCCTGCTGCCGGAGGGTCGCAGGTCTTGATTTACTAGCTGTTTATACCCTTTCCAACCCCTGGGGCCTGCATTATAACCGTATTTATACTAATAGCCTCGCCCAGAGTTGCGCTAGGTTCACAGGTCTAGGTGTGATTTACTGACAATGTTGTCACTATTAAACGCGATGGTAAGAAAAATAAAAAAGCAACACAATAGCGTATGTACGCGAACTAAAGGGTGGCGACAATAACGTTCGGCTATTACCTGTCAGCCACGTAAGATTATGACTTCCGTCTCAAAGAACATCGAAAGGAGCAGAAGTTTTTGGAAGTGTCGAAATACAGATTCGAAAGCAGCTAGGTGTTGACAGAAATTAAACTACATCCGTTTAAATATCGTATATCACTGTCCACAGAAAAAGAAAACTCGCAATCATCTAGGCAATAAACGTAAAGCGAGACTAATCCATATAAAAATATCTTTATGATTCTTCTTCAATACGCATGGCATAAAATCGACTTAAAATCGCCCCTTATTTATCTCATCCAAATAATATCTGTCATGCATAATTAAAAATTAATTTATGATTGAAACTGTTGGGCGTTGTAGAAAATATATTCTCCTTTAATAAAATTCGCGATTCTTTATCAACAAGACGGTGAAAGATTAAGCTATTCCTCTACAGAATCGATAAATCAGAAAGTTCTACATGTCATCATAGATATAGAGAGAATGGTAGAGCAGTACAAGCGATACGAGTGGATGGATGGAAGGAAGGAAGGAAGGAAGGAAGGAGGAAGGAGGAGCCGTGGCGTAGGGATCTCTCCAGTAACAGGATGTAATTATGATCGGTGAGATACGTCACGCATAACCCCCGTATTGACGTCCACAAATCACGCTGCACGGCCGGCCATGCGGTATCTCGCGCCACTCGGGGGACTACGATCCTCAAACTCAGACGGCCTAACGCGACACTAAATCCAGAATTATGTACGCCGCTGCGCGTGTAGACATCGACGTGGACGCGCGGGATCTCCCGAGGATTCGCCGTGTCAAACGTGGGAAATGTGACGCTCGCGAAATTAGCACTTAAGGCGCACTCGTGAGATACCATCACCTGCCCGACAAGACTGGAGTGTGCGATAGTGCAGTGTGCAGCACGTGCACGCAGACTGTACAACTATTTACCTTTCAACTTTCAAGATATTAGCATGCAAGACGCAACTCTTTACATGGCATTGTTATTATGCTACTTGCGCCGTTGTAGATAAATAGAAAATTGTGGAATAATAATAGGATAAACACATGCGCATACATAGATATACGTATTTAATATTTTATTACAATATATTTTATTACAAAATAAGAATGAATTTTATTGAACAGTGCTCATTTAACAAATTTGTACTTTCAAAATTAGATTGATTTCGACTTGTTATAAGAATTATAAAAGAAATTGGAAAAGAATAACAAGTTTATTAAGCAATTAATAGATGTTATGGTAGAGTAGTATTTCACCATCTTGGTACCGCAACTGGGTATAAAACCTTGCATAGAGACTATCATTATGAATGCAATATGTGTCTGTTTTAATAAAAGCAATATTTAATATCGAGAAATATATCGAGAAATTATATAGATTTAGTGAATAAAGGAAAAATAATGGCAATGAGAGCCGATACAATTGTACGTGTGTAATCTAAATATAATATATATAACAATCACCACAATTACAATGTAAGTTTTTTAATTAATTTCATTAATTTTAACTTATCGACTATACAAAGCATTTCAAATATCAACTCGATTTTAATTAAATTACGAAATTTTGGTTTGAGTATCCAGCTAAATACGACAAACGACAATGAAATTTTTAATTTTTGATTATAGTCTAACGATGAAGTTTTTAATTTTTTACTACAGCCTGATGATTCAAATGATTGTATCGGCCTATCTTTTTACAACGTATTAACTTGTCTCTGATATTTATTACTTATACACTGAGGAGGACCTAATCTTATGGTCAAAACGTCTGTAATTGGTGATTGACATATATATTATATTTAGATTACACATGTATAACTGTATCGCCTCTCTTGGCATTATTTCTTCTTTATTGATTTAATCTTTGGAGTCTTTTACAATTTTAATTGTTATAAATTTAATGCTTACCATTTGTATAATAGTAATCGACTTCTTGATTGGAAGAAGTATTCGTTGCATGTTCGATCCATAAGTGCTCAGAAAATAATAAGAATACATTACAACATGTACAGAACAATTGAGCAACATCGAAGTCATGTTAAAACTATGATTAAAGTAATTAAACATCAACCAAGAGTAGATAAATGTGGAAGCATGATGGTATGTGTGTAAAAATGAGATCTGGCGATCTTTCTTCCTCAAAACAAATACTACAGTTTCAATGAGATCGAACAATTTAAGCATTAGTACCCACCACAGTGTTTCAAATACCTGCAATAAAAAAAGTAAATCTATTTCAATTTAATATACGAAGAAGAACGCAAGCCTATCGCGGTCAAAGTTAGATATTTTGAATAATACAATATATATATTTGAAAATTATGCGTTTCGCGGGTTTTCTCCGTGTCCAGATCCATTCTTGGAATACCAACGTTTCGTGAATCTTGCAGTCTACTTCATCAGGGCGAGGAGCAGCCTAATACTGAGCTGTTCCTCCGGGCCGTTCCCTTTATATTACACTGCTTGTTGGAATGGTAGGAGGGGAGAAGAAAATTGTGGGTGGAGGAGAGGAGAAGAAGTTGGTCGGTCTTCAGTAACCGGGAGAATGGTCTTCCATATTTTATTTATGTTGTAGCCATTATCTCTATTTAGATTGTTAGAGTGCTTTTGTACCTCTATGGCTTCTCTATACTTTCTTGGAAAGTATGATGTAATGTTGGCTATTGTGGTCGTTTTATCAAACTGTATTTGATGTCTTGTTTCGATGTTGTGTTCTGATAATGCCGACTGCGTAGCGTGTTTTAGCCTGACATCACGTTAGTGTTCTTTTCGTAGGTTGATCATTCTCCCGGTCTCTCCAATGTATACTTGCCCGCAGGAACAAGGTATTTTGTATACTCCTGCGGAGCTGATCGGAGGTCTTTGATCTTTAGGATTTCTTAAGATTTGTCCTATCTTTTTGGGTGGTTTGAAGATAGTTCGGATATTGTGTTTGTTTAGTATCCTGCCAATCCGGTCTGTTGTTCCTTTAACAAATGGGAGAATGGATAGGATCCTTTCGTCTGGTTGTGTGTCAGGTACCGTTATCTTATTTGCATGTGGATATTTGGATGTTGTTTGTTGAGGAAAATATCCACTTCACTACGGACATAGAGGAAAACGGAAAACTCCCCTTCTCTTCTAGATGTTCTTGTCTCTAAGAAAGCTGACGGTACCTTAGGCCATCAAGTTTACAGAAAACCAACACACACAGATATATACCTATATGCCGAGTCACACCACCATCCAGCACAAAAACAGTCAGCAATCAACCGACTTGTACATAGAGCTTTCATCCCATCTCTGACAAAGAACATCTACAGACAGAACTCAACCACCTAAAACTAGCTTTACAGAAAAACGGACACGACAAAAAAGACATAATCAAAATAATACATCAATAAACATGCAAACAAGACAACGGTTCCTGATACACAACCAGATCCTATCCATTCTCCCATTTGTTAAAGGAACGACAGACCGGATTGGCAGAATACTAAACAAACACAATATCCGAACTATCTTCAAACCATCCAAAAAGATAGGACAAATCTTAAGAAATCCTAAAGATCAAAGACCTCCACTCAGCTCCGCAGGAGTATACAAAATACCTTGTTCCTGCGGGCAAGTATACATTAGAGAAACCAGGAGAATAGTCAATCTACGGATAAAAGAACACTAACGTGATGTCAGGCTAAAACACACCACGTAGTCGGCATTATCAGAACACAACATCGAAACAGGACATCAAATACAGTTTAATAAAACGACCACAATAGCCAACATTACATAAATTAAATTAGAAAAACTGTAAAGAACTTATTGTGAAAAATATTACAGTTTTTAAACTTTGACTGTGATAGACTGGCGTTCTTCTTCATATTTGATTATATTTGATATTCACATGTACGTTCGTTCCAAAGTCTTAATAGCCCCTATTTAACATATTTAGATCTATTGTCATTTTGCTTGTGTCAATTTTTGCCGAGTCATATTTACTTTGCAAATTCACATGTTTAATTTATCGATGCTTCTACGTATGTCGTATGAGTAACAATTATTTATTATATATTTCCCAAACATTTAAAATGTACTTACTAATTTAAATTAATACTAAAAAGTTTAATTACAGTTTTTCAGTATATTAATATGATCTTTGAAATATGATGCCTGATTGAGCATCGAAATTATTAGAATTTTAATTTAATTCACGAAATTACTAAAGTGGTTTAATTATGTTTAGTCCAGAAATATTTCGGTGCACAATTCGTTAGACTACAATTGTGGTATATATGTCAGGTACATATACAGGTATATCATATTTAGTGATTCAAGATTGATTTATTTAAAGCATTTTAAGATCTAGCTTCGACCGTATAGGGCTCTTATTTATCGATTGTGTCTCTCACATACGCGGTCTAAAAATGATATTATTGTTAAATTAATACATTTAGACTGTTTTTTATTTTTGGCAATTTAAAAGTTTAACACATACCTTTTCACTGTAATTACCGCAAAGTTCATCGAGTGACTCGCAAAATCTCCATATAGCAGTAAATGGTCTACCATATGTCACGAAATTAAACACTATCCAAGCATTTGAAATAATTTGAAGAAGATTGTAACATTGCATAAACGGTTTTAACGAGTACGGTTGTCTATTTTTCATGAATTGCGGACCAGCAATGTAGACGATATAAAAATAGGCTATGGATATAAAAATTACTGGCATCGGTGCAGATACTAATAACCATTTTACTTTTTGTGTATCTGTGAAATCTGTATAATAGAAGTTAACATAATTTTCGGAAAAAAATTTTGTAATATCACTTGTAAAAAAGTTTAAAGATTTAAAATTTCTTCGACATATATATATATATACATATATACTTTTAAAACTTACTAGCCGTTTCCGAAACATGATAATTAGATTCCAATTGAGCCATAATTTTGATTCGAACGTGTTTCTTCTACATATACTCGACTAAACGCTAGCAAAGAAAAATTGCGACTTTAAATACTTCGTTTTTATATATTCATATATACATGTTTCGTAATACGTAGTACAAAAAGCATTTACAAAACTTTTTTTATTCTGAATATTTATGGTGATTATATAAACTACTTATGTAGTTCTTGGACAGAAACTATATTTATGTAAATATATTATCGTGATGAAAAATCATACATCACGAATGTATTCTGATTCTCACAGTGCATCAAAGTACAAGAAGTGCAGCAACAAAATAAGGTTGTTTATAAATGAAAATTATAATTCTTTTTATTAATATTATTAATTCTTCGAAATATAAGTTTCCATTTTACAAAAATACAAATTTATCATCATTAATATTAATATTTAATAAAGTTTACGCAACATATTCAAATAATATGTTTGAATACCAATAATATAATAAATGTTATTACATAGATTTAGTTAACCGTTTGAATAAATTAAAAATATTTTAAAATTAAGAGAGTGTTGTACGTGTCTTAATATAAAAAAAAAAATACGTTTTTTATTCTTGTGTGAGAATTTTTTACATCAGCACAAGAAGAACTTATGCAAATATAGTTCTTGTAAATAGAAACTATATTTATGTAAATATATTATCGTGATAAAAAATCATACATCACGAATATGTGTTCTGATTCTCACAGACGTTGTGCAACAAAAGATCAAATATTCAAATATTCAAATAAAAAGGAAGATTTAAGTTAAAAATCTTCAATTCTCATACTATTTATATTGTAGTAGCTTATAATGGGTAATTCATTTGTGCTTGCTATACTAATCAAACAGATATTAGAATACAAAAGCTAGCCTTGATCTTATTTACAATTCACGCATGACTTTCCCTGTCGCCTCATCGCGCAGCACAATTCAAAATGCAATCCGAGCTGTATGTGTTCGCAGACGCGAGCGGTTGAGTCGTCGCGGATAATTGCATTCGCGTGATGCGTTGGTGTAGCGCGAATGTGTCTCGCTGACCGTAGGCGCCACGAAGCATCCGGAGGCTGTCCGGGACTTCCGCCTCGCCGGATGCACCCGCGGCTTCACTCGTCCCTCTATCCTCTTCATTCACCCCTACTCTGGGTCCCTTTAAACTCCCTTCGATAATGCTGCGTTCCTATGTGGCCCCGGCCATTAACTACCATATAGCGGACGATCACGTGACGTAACCGTGGGTAACATCAAAGCCAAAGGCATAGTTGCACCCTAGGGACGGCCTATGACGTTAGCCTATCTCGCTGCAACTCTCTGCCTGCAACTGCACCGCCTCGAGGCGTCGTCGACGTTACCGTCAGTCGTTCTGGTGTACGGTAGCTAGGAATTTCGGCTTTAATGATTAACCACTTTCCAGGTTGTCGAGACTGACACATGTACGTAGTTACCGTAGTTGCAAATTATTCAGTCAACACGTACAGGAAACACTCCGTACAGGAAACTTGCTGTTCCACGAAAGATACGATTAACGATAGTTACTGATTACTAAATAATTCCGTAATACAAATCCGTATAACAAATCAAACTAACAAAGATTCCTTATAAATCAAAAGAAATTGGAAAAAATTAGGGTAATAGGAGTCAGGCGCAGAAGACGTCGCGCAAATAATACACCCACAAAGCGTAAAACTTCTTTATTTTACTAAACGCACTTACATGTTTCGGCTTATTATTTGCGCGACGTCTTCTGCGCCTGACTCCTATTGTCCTTATTCTTTCCAATTTCTTTTAATGCAAAACAATTAATATTCATGATTAATCGATGAATAGTATTTCTGATAGAATATAGGTAAACTTATTAAGACTGTCACATTTCTGCTTGATGTTGAAAAAAATTATATTATACACAGTTGGAAAAAATGTGTTAAATTTAACATAAATCGCATGTTCCAAATGATCCACTCAAATTTTTGAATTAATTTTACACAAGATGAATATGTTAGAAGGTAACACAAATATTATGTAAGAGAATAAATACAAAAAAAGATAACATCGACACAGTTTGCAAACAAACCATGGGAACATTTTTTTTTCAGAAAATTAATATTTATGATATGTTAAATTAACATATATTTCATTCATTTGTCTTAGAATTTACATTTTAAAATACATTTTTATGTTACTTGTTCACTTATTCATAAATTGTCATTTTGACACCAAGAAACATTGAATATCAATTTCACAAAAAATCTTTAAATAACATAATCACATTATGTGTTAAATTAACACTCGAATATATTAAAAAATTCTACAGAAACTGTTAACACAAACGCGAATGGACCGTTTCCAACACAAATGCACACTTTTTTTATTGTGTATATATACTGTAGATATTACACGATGTATGTCACGAACTAACGTCAATGTACAAGCGGAAACCAAGAAGTCTCTAACCAAAAAGTACAATTGATATATTCCGGAACCTACAATCAGACATCCGCACGAAAGAAGTAGCACAGGAATAGAGAGACCGTCTTACATGCTACTTATATGCTCCGCGCTAGCTTCCTTCCTTCCACCCCTTCCTGCCTTTATTGCGAACGACGAAAAAGTTTCACGGTATTTAAGCAAGTTGTGCACAAAATAGTAATGAACTATCAACCATATGTCGCCTACTACACAATGTAAAACCGTCCTGTGGGACTTGATAATCGTTCTCGTTCCAATTTGTTCCGTTCTGATTGTTCACGGGACTGACCTGGGATAATCATTACTTATACGGTTCACTTACTCTACGTATTGTATGTCTATAACGATACATTATTTTCTTATTGTTAGGACTTCGAAAGTGAATGGAGAAGATATCGAAATACTTCGGAATCTTATACTTTCAATTTTACGCAACAATTTTTTTTCTTTTATAATAATGAAGATCGAACAAAATGGAAATTTATAATTTACATAGAGATTTTGCTTCTCAATCAGTTATATTTGCTTTTCGAAAAAGTTTAAAATAATTTTTCAGTTTTTTGGGAAAAAATAGAAATATAACTCTATTTATAATAATAACATATTATTATAAGTAGAGCTGTATTGGTAATAAAGTGTTTACATCTGCACTGTTTTACGATTATGCAAGTATAATCACTAATGGAGAAGAGCTTGAAAAGACAGATAAAGAATTCCACAACAAGTGCAAAGAAGCGAAGAAAAATAGGGAACATGCAGGAAAGCAGGAAGCGGTATAGGAGCGCGAGCGAACGTTTTCGCGACAATAGGCAGGATGTGCGAAGGGTTACCATTGCAAATCACAATAGCGACCGCAAAACGCGAATGACAGGTTGAATAGACGTGGCTAGAGAAGCGAGTCCTGACGGTAACCTATTATTACCGGGATCTCTTTTATACGGGCTATTCTGTGGGAAAACTACGCTTCCTAAAGACGGTTTTTAATTCATCGATGGAATAGAAATACCGTATCCTCGTCTCGTAGATTTTTATTTTTTATTTTTTTTTTTTTTGATTCCATACATTTGATTAATATAAATATACAATTGGTATATGAAACAGAAGAAACAATAACATGAACCAACTGTCCTCTCTAAATCATATATACCATATATATATATATATATATCATAAAATTTCATCTTACCAAGATAAAAATCATATTATAATAAAAACATATTCGGACGTCTATGTATGAAAGTATTTAAAGAATAATATCGAAATCATGAAAATTTTGAGAAGAAGAGAAAGATTAGGTCCATATTTACATCTCATTTTTATTCATTTTATTTATTTTTTTAAATGTGCATTTTTTAGTTTACTACAATTGTTTACTACATTTTTTAGATTGGTACAATTTATATTACACATACTGTAGAATCTCAGAAATGAATACGTACTTTTTTATCGATAAAAATGAGATGGTAATACAGACGTCATATTACAAAAAAGTTAAAGATATGCATAGCACCATTTGCATAACATCTCAAGATCAAAATATTTGAATTATATTTATTGTTATTTTACAATTTCTATTCAACTAAAATATTATTGTTATTCTACAATTTCTATTCAACTAAAACATTTATTGTTATTCTACAATTTCTATTCAACTATACTCGTTATTTCTTTGTTCGAAATTTTGTGAATAACAATTACATTTTTTTTTATTACAAACATTATTATTATTGAATTCTTTTTTAACTACTGAAAGAAAAGATTTTTTTCTTGCAAAAATAGATTTCTTTATATATATATATTTTATATATATATATATATATATCTATTTTCGTAAGCAAATTCACTTATCTGTACATGAGTGGCTTGAAA